CTAAACAAAAATCAGAGAAAAATATGTACAGTTTTGACTATAAGACAATATAATTAAAGGTAATTATGTAATACTGTATAGCCAGAAAATTTGGTGAAGAATTACATTTGTGTAAGTTGGTGGATTACTTGCTTCCAGAGGTCCATCTGCAATGCATCAGCTTGATTATCAGTCTATCATTAATCAACTCTGAAAGCTCTTCATTTACCTTCATACTTTTGTGTGTACTAATTAGTGACAAATAAATTGATATCACATCTAAATTTAGTGTAATACCTACTCTGGCTTTGTCTTCGGCTCAGTCAGCTATTACATGTATTTATGATTACAACAAGGCATAAATTACACATTACAGTCAATTTACATGACTACTGTACCTTAAGATAAGTTAAGAAGAAGGAAAACTGAAGTGAAAGCCATACAATGAATGATTATTCTAAGTTAACGTCCTACTTAGGCTACTGTACTGAGCATGCTCAGAAGACAGCATGCTATTCAAAATGGCATCTACCAGTTAATCCATGACTGCTTGGGCCAGAGAACACAATTTTTCCTTGATTTTGCTCACCTGTATTTGATGAGTGACTGCACTTCTTACACTACAATGCAAGAGAATGGTGTAAAAATCATTCTTCTGTGATTGATATCCTTGGAGGAGTTTTGACTGATAGAAAGAAGAAGAAGAAAAAGAAGAAGAAGAAGCAGAAACCTGAATGGAATACGCACGCATGCATGCATTCATGCACCCCGTAAAACCATACTTATCAATATTTTCAGCTCTTTTTGCTGGTTCCCAAGTCTTCTAAAGGTAATGGAAAGCTCATCTAGGCTCTCAAGTAAGAAATAAAGTTAGATTATCCCAGAGAAATGAGCAAGAATAGCTCAATTTGGGCAGCCATTTTGACCAACTCAACCCTACTAACCAAGCTCTACCGCTTGACAATATACTATGCATTAACATCCCGTGTAATAATATTTATACTCTACTTAGACAAAACCACAGTGTCACATCTGTTTAGCCACAGTTAACAAGTGATTTGTTTCATTACATTTGAAGTAAGTACTTGATGCAAACAGTGTAACATCTGAATTGTTACACTCTTAACTCAAATAATGAATAATAATTGAATAAGACTGAAGGAATGATTAAATGAGAGTTTGAGAAAACAACTTATTGCTCATACAAGTTAATAACACAGTTCTGCAATTGACCAGTAAAAATTGCACTGCCATCTATTTCTGTCTTTACTTCTCCTTTCTGCCGTTCCTTGTCCATTTCTTTCTTTGTTCCACCTTTGTCTTCTTTCTCCTCTGGGACCATTGAATTTAGAATATATGTTGTATTGTGCTCCTGTTCAATTGAAGTGTGCTCATAGCTACGCAATCCTGCTAAACTGTGATGTCCTTTAACCTCTTGAATAACTTTTTCAGGAACATTGTGAGAAAATAGTCGTGTAGCTGAGATAGCTCTTAGTCAATGATTGGTGTTCCGAATACTTGTCCCTGATTGTTCGGAAATTCTAGGAAGTATATTCTGTAATGTGTTCACACCAACTGGTACATTAATATACCATGACTGACCCTCATTGACCTATGGCCTAGGTCGTAGATAAAATGCTACAGGATCTTGTGGTAACTTGGAGAAATAGAAATCGAGCATTTTGACCAAACACGATTGCGATTCAGGTATAGCATAACACTTGACAGCTTTTGTCTTTCCATGAATATCCTTAAAGCGATGTTGATTATTTTTGGCAATGTAATGTATTCCACATTTTGATAACACGTGTTTGCGTCATAAATAGTAGTGCTTGGAGGATAACGTGTAAACTGCTCTTTCTTGAGATCACGCTGCTCCTGTCCTCCATGAAGCGAAAAATACAACCTAATATAGAAGAAGACCATGTTTTGAAGACCAACTGGGTTAACAAAAGAAAACACACCTTTTCTCAACATACGTTTTTCATCCTCTTCTGTTATTACAGCTGCTGACTTCTTTTCAGCACCTAATCCTTGTGCATGTAAAGAGCTAAACAAGGTATCTAGTGTGTTATGAAGTTCTCGAAACCTTTAATCAGCTCTGTCTAAAAAATTAAAAGGCACTCCATTTGACTTACAAATCCGATGGAGCACATAAAGCAAGAGGTAAATTGATTTAGGAGGGTACTGAGCACCATTCTCTTGTTGGGTCTCCATTACATATCTACACAGCCACTTGCACAATAATGGAGCATCATGTGATGAAAGGAGGTCTTGAGGAACAGTTTCTTCAAATTTAGATCTCAGTTTTACCCATTCTGAGAAATTGTTCATGGACCATCTATTGTTCCTTGATGTATTCTCGGGAATGATCCCTTTGGCAGCAACCTCTGTATCCTTGTTGGGGATACTTTGAAACCTCTCCACTGGAACCAGTTTCTTTCAGGCAATGACAAATAGGACTTTATTTTCACAGGTTCCTCCTCAGGTTCCTTGTCTGAGTCTTCCTCATGAACCAAGTCAGGCTCAAAAGTGGCTAGGTTTAAATTTTCTTTGTCAGTGGCGACACTTTCATCTGGCATACTTTGTGTTCTCTTAGGCTTCCTAGACAAAGATTTTCGTTTTCTCTTCTTAGGAAACTCTTCAGCAGGTGAAGGCACATCTTGCTGAGGATTCAAGGGATAGAAAAACCAGTCTCCTTACTCTTGGCCATTTTCGACAAAACGTGGAAATGAATCGAGCATGCGCACTTCACAACTTATGTGGGCCAGGGTTTCTTTGATGTTAATGCATGGCAATAACAAAACAATTAATATATGGCTCCGAGTGTAACATCGGATCACTCGCTTCCGGTCTCGTGGCTAATAATAGAGCACTCGGCCTTCGCCCTCGTACTCTATTTTTAGGCACTCGACCAGAACCTCGTCTGTACAAATCCGATGTTACACTCAGAGCCATATATTAACTATTACTTGTCCAATGTCTTAAAACTTTTATTCAGTAAAAAAAAATTTAGAACAAATAAGGCAAATTAATGAATTTATTTATTATAAATTTTAAAAAGCAAGTCCTATGCAAAATTTGTTATCCTCAAAAAAGAACCTCAATTTGGGAACCTTTCAGATAAGGACATCATGATATTTGGGACTGTAACTGGCACATAAACACTATTTTAGCCAACCTGTCAGTAAAGGACCACTTGTCTTTACTTAGTGTATGATATGCCAGCCATTGAGGCCACTGATATAAAATTCATATTATCCCATTACTGAGGTGGGCTTGGTGCATGCAGGGGTTTCTTTACTTACAATAATTTTATTCTTGTGTGTGCATGATAATATTCACATGGACTATTGCTAAAACTTTATTAATATTAATTTTTTGTGACTGGAAGTGACAAAAGGCATCATTTGGCAGGTAATCTAGGCAATGAAAATGGTCGACTTGCACAGTTCAGTTGAACTAATTTTTTGGGATACAGTTTTAATTATTGTTTTGTTAATTTTTGCAATCAGTGTTCAAAAAACACTTAAAATTTGATACATTTTTACTTTGAAGATAAATTTAGTTAACCACCAAATGTTACCTTCCAGTCACATTTATGAAGTCTTTCCTTCATGCTGTGTGTAAGATTCTTGTATCACACCAGTTTCAAGCTACCCTCTTGTTTCATAATGCTTTGATGTTATGCAAGTACATGTATAAATTGGTATATATTCTCTTCAGTTGGCGATACAGTAGCATGTAACCACACATAATTGTAAAAGCCCTTAATCTTTGAAAGAGGCACCAGCTGTTAATTTTTAAAATATCTTTTAGTCAAACCTCTCTAAAACGAACCCCCAATTAGCGGACACCTCTCTATAGTGTACAGTTACTCTTGTCCCGGCCATAAGGCCATTGGGTAATGTATAAAAGAACCTCTGTATAGGGGAACCTTTCTATTCTGTATAACAGAACCTCTCTATTCTGTATAACAGAGCCTCTCTATTCTGTATAACGGACGACATTTACTGTCCCCATACATCTACACATGTACAGATTAACCTCCAACGGACAAACACAGCCCACACAACAGACTTTCTAATTAACGTGCATCAAGAAAATGGCGGATTTTCTTGGTTTGATTAGCATGAGATAACCTCCGATTTAAGCACACCTCCGTATAAAGTACAGTGATGGCTGGCCCATAGGTGTCCGTCTTAGAGAGGTTTGACTGTAATGATCTCTAAAAAAGCTCTATTTTAATCTCAAAAAATGATACTATGAAAACCAGTGATAAGCAATGCAACAGAGCACTTGGACTTCAAGATATCTTCGGGTTGTCTCGCAAGCAAGACCATTCCCCAGCCTACAGTCATTAGAGTGGATGGCAGTGGTCTATTCCAATGACTGTAGGCTGGGGAACCATTTGGATAACGGAATAGTCCTTAGGTGACTTGTCATTGTCAGTCTAAGACTGTTTACAATGGCACTGCCACCAGCTATTGTGTGTAGTTGACCATAGCCCATTGAGTGTTGAGTAGTGTTTTTGGGTGCAAAGGGCTTTGCAAGGCCGGGCTTTCAGCAAATCAGCCTCGAAATTAGTGAGCTGTCATGTATAACTCCTAATCTGTCAGAATTAGGTGGGTTTGGATCATTTTATTCACTGGTAATTAACTACATGGCTCTTCAGTTATAAACTGAAGCGATGCTTCTTTGAAGTTCTTTAGACGAGGAGGACTGCGGCTTGTTGAGGTAGCCTTTTTCTCTTCTTGCCATGTGCTAGGTTATAAGCTACTGCGCATGCGTATAACGTGATCTGCCCATTCAAATTGATGTATATTACCTATAACATGCCTACTCGGGCTGTATCTGACTTGCAGGCACCTCCTACTTGGGTGCTATGCACCCTTGTGGTTGGTGCCTGTAAATCAAATACAGCCCTCCTAGGCATAATATATCTATTACATACGAGTTTTATTGTGTTGTTTGCCAATTGAACTGTCATTGAAAAATTGTTATCTGATAGAGATTACAGTATCTTTTATTTGTTTAGTGATCCCTGTGGTGGAAAGCTTGTTGTTAACATTTGATTGGCGACGTCTTAATGATATAACTTGGTTTCGAAAATGTTGGTATCACAATGGCTTGATGGAAGCATTATTTACAGGACACAAACCAAGTGATGATGGTCAACAAGTTGATGTGCACAGAAGTTTTGATTTACCTTTGGAAAGAAATGACTCAAGTGAAGGTAAATTGTTATAATTTTGTATGTACATAGTGTTATGTTTTGTCGTTTTATCTGCTTAGTCATATAAGTAATTTTAAACTGCCCTTCTGGATTGCAAAATGATATTTTGTTTAATTTAAAGTATAACACAATCTTTTATTACATTCAATCTGTGTTATTTGCCTTTCATGCTATGTGAAGTATGAGGCAACATCAGTACATTGTTGGGTGTGGAAATAAATAAACCAAGACAGCTTTTTGTCCTAATGTTATGTCCATTAAGCATCAAGAGTTGCATAAGTTTCTTCCTCTGGGTTCTCCTTTTCGAAATATGAGTTGTGGCAATGTTTATTATCACTTCCATTGAAATTGAGTGTAAATTCAATGTGATCTTATATAGTTGTTTGTGCTACCACAAATTGTGCCACGTCTAGCATTTGTTTTAGGAGGCCAGATTCAATAAATAGAGTCTGGTTTTACGCCTAAAATAATTAAAAAAGAAAAAAACAAGATCAAGTAGGATTCTGGAGCAAATTCATAAAAAGTAACGGAAAAAAGGACAAGTAGGATTTTGAATAACCAGCGAAAATGTGTAATGCAAATCCTACTCTCATGATGCAAATTCTACTCTACATTGTACTTTCAATATTATTATGTAAAAAATTAAGGATCACTTTGTACTGTAGAGTAGAATTTGTGTCACGAGACTAGGATTTTCATTGCATATTTTTATTGGTCATTCAAAATCATACTTGCCCTTGTTTCCGTTACTTTTTAAAAAATTTGTTCTTGAATGCTACTCAACCTTGTTTTTTAAATTTTTAATGTTCTTTTTGTTGATTTTTAATTATATTTGTAATAATAATTATTTCAGATAATGCCCATTGCTATTGCGGTGAATAGTTTATGCTAAAGGACTGAATTCAGTACTGATCAGTGTTTAGTGAAAGCGCACTGAAGTATCACATAATGATAAATTTGGCACAAGTCCTGAATCAAGAAGCATTGACAGTACTTATCTTTGCAATCTTGTCCTGGTGGCTGTTGTTCTGTTGAGTTCATGATTGCATGACATTAATTAATTTTTGTTTTGTGTATTCTAAAATAAATGAATTAATCACACATAATAAAACAATCTTATTACCCAAGACACGCGTAGGCGTGATCGAGGGTGAAGCAGTCATCCTGTCTGTGTATGTGTGTGTGTGTGTGTTTGCTTGACCTTCACTTTTGAGCTAACACTGCTTTCTTGTCTAGTTCTGGAGAGTCTTATAATCAACACAGGCTCTAGAAAAACTTATTCTTTGTCTTGGGAATGCTTGATTTGTTGAGGGTATGCCCTTTAGTGCTCTTGTTCAAGATTAATTACCTTCTATTAGCTGAAACTGAAAATCTCAACTAAGTATTGCAGTTCAATCAAGCAGAGCTAGATAAAACTCATAAAAGAAATTGCAGCTCTAACTTCTGTGAGCATGCGTGACCACACCCAATTTTAGAGCACACGTTCCTTTTCATTAACAAAACAGCGGAATGAAGTAAGCTGGGCTTGGGGTAATAGAGAGACGGCAACTTTTTTTTTATTGTTAGAGTTATTGGAAAAGTGGTGGACCTACACATGGACAGTTGATGTAGGATAGTGTAAAAGTTAGCCTTGTAGCATTGATCAAAGATCATGATACCCCTTCTTAACTAATTGACAGGAGATGTTGATGATGACTTAAGGTTGGTTCACAGTATTATGCTAGTCCTGACGTTACGTTGATGCTGGAATCGAATCTGGTTCGATTCCAGTGGAATGCATGCGTCAAAAGGTCAAATTGCCCACACTTTGATTAAAAATTGATGGTATGTTAGCCTAGCGTCATATTGTGAACCAGTCTTAAGATGAGAAAAATAGCAGAACAAAACAGCCGATTTGCCAATTTTTGATTTTATTTTGAGACAAGGTTGAGAGCCACGCTAGTGGTACCAATAAATTTTCTTGTCAAGATAAGGTTCTCTAAGAAGTCTGCTAAGCATAGAAGGTCGTTTTCCTGGTACAGTAAGGCCGCAAAAGTCGTGGCAGCCATTTTGTTTTGGGGTGAATCCTACTTTGTAACGCTGCTGTGTTACTGATATTATCTGGTGCTTGTCTGGCAAAATTCAGTCCACCCAAGAAAGCCACTGTTATCAAGGTTACATTAAAAACGCCATTGCCACGGTAAGTCTATTATCAAGAGTGAAACATACTGAGCTTTTACACCATTCTTTATGACTGCACCTGCAGACTGAATTGTCTTCATCTAATTCTCTGATAGCGAGACAGTTATGCAAATAAAAAAACGTCTGGCCCTCTCTCTCTTTTGAAATAATGTGCATGGATTTTCAGGTGAATTCAGCTGCCAACTTCAGTACTGCTGAAAAAAATCAAAATTGAAAGTACTTTATTGCTTAATTTTGTTGATGTCAGTAAGCAAGTTTATTAAAATCACTTAATTTATTACTGAGGCTAGTATTGTGGTATGTTGGTGTGTTTATAGCAGGCCTGGGGCCAATTACAGATAAATGTAATCTATTGCTATTACTATTACTTGTAAATTTTCGCTATTATATTACTATTACTATTACAGCCTATTTTCAAAGTAATCTATTACTATTACTATTACATTATGGTATATTACTATTACAATTACTATCACAATACGTTATAGTGTGTAACAGATTATTAGTAATGATTTATTTTAAGTTAAGTCTAAGATATTAGTTTTTAATGAAGAATAATTATTAGTCTAGGAGGTGTCTATTGCATTTTATTGCAATAAGCTTCTAAAAAACGGCATTTGTCATTGAGCACCTATTGGGCCTGATGATTTTCCCAGCTATACTAAATAATCTTTCAACTGGAGCTGATGATGCTGGTATTGATAAGTAGTGCTTTGCCATCTTTGATAGTTTGGGAAATCTGGATTTATTTAGCTTCCAAAAGTCAAGTGGATGAATATCTTCAGGCAATGCTGTCTCTGATAAATATGAATCAACTTCAGATTCCTCAGCAGGTGATGATGTACTTGTACTTGGTATTGGTAAGTAACTGAAGAGCCTGCTTCTCTTTGGCTGTGGCTGTTCTGCTGTGTCTGTGTATC